GCCAGGCAAGCTCACGGGTGCTGCCAGGCAAGCTCACGGGTGCTGCCATGCAAGCTCACGGGTGCTGCCAGGCAAGCTCACGGGTGCTGCCAGGCAAGCTCACGGGTGCTGCCAGGCAAGCTTACGGGTGCTGCCAGGCAAGCTCACGGGTGCTGCCAGGCAAGCTCACAGGTGCTGCCAGGCAAGCTCACGGGGTGCTGCCAGGAAAGCTCATGGGTGCTGTGCTGCCAGGCAAGCTCGCGGGTGCTGCCAGGCAAGCTCATGGGTGCTGCCAGGCAAGCTCAAGGGTGCTGCCAGGCAAGCTCACGGGTGCTGCCAGGCAAGCTCACGGGTGCTGCCAGGCAAGCTCACGGGTGCTGCCAGGCAAGCTCACGGGTTCTGCCAGGCAAGCTCACGGGTGCTGCCAGGCAAGCTCACGGGTGCTGCCAGGCAAGCTCACGGGTGCTGCCAGGCAAGCTCACGGGTGCTGCCAGGCAACCTCACGGTGCCAGGCAAGCTCACGGGTGCTGGCAGGCAAGCTCAGGGGTGCTGCCAGGCAACCTCACGGGTGCTGGCAGGCAAGCTCACGGGTGCTGCCAGGCAAGCTCACGGGTGCTGCCAGGCAAGCTCACAGGTGCTGGCAGGCAAGCTCACGGGTGCTGCCAGGCAAGCTCACGGGTGCTGGCAGGCAAGCTCACGGGTGCTGGCAGGCAAGCTCACTGGTGCTGCCAGGCAAGCTGACGGGTGCTGCCAGGCAAGCTCACGGGTGCTGGCAGGCAAGCTCACGGGTGCTGCCAGGCAAGCTCACGGGTGCTGCCAGGCAAGCTCACGGGTGCTGCCAGGCAAGCTCATGGGTGCTGCCAGGCAAGCTCACGGGTGCTGCCAGGCAAGCTCACGGGTGCTGCCAGGCAAGCTCACGGGTGCTGCCAGGCAAGCTCACGGGTGCTGCCAGGCAAGCTCACGGGTGCTGCATGGCAAGCTCACGGGTGCTGGCAGGCAAGCTCTCGGGTGCTGGCAGGCAAGCTCACTGGTGCTGCCAGGCAAGCTCACGGGTGCTGCCAGGCAACCTCACGGGTGCTGCCAGGCAAGCTCCCGGGTGCTGTCAGGCAAACTCACGGGTGCTGGCATGCGAGCTCACGGGTGCTGCCAGGCAAGCCCACGGGTGCTGCCAGGCAAGCTCACGGGTTCTGCCAGGCAAGCTCACGGGTGCTGCCAGGCAACCTCACAGGTGTTGCCAGGCAAGCTCACGGGTGTTGCCAGGCAAGCTCACGGGTGCTGCCTGCCAGGCAAGCTCACGGGTGCTGGCAGGCAAGCTCACGGGTGCTGCCAGGCAAGCTCATGGGTGCTGCCAGGCAAGCTCATGGGTGCTGCCAGGCAAGCTCACGGGTGCTGCCAGGCAAGCTCACGGGTGCTGCCCGGCAAGCTCACGGGGTGCTGCCAGGCAAGCTCACGGGTGCTGCCAGGCAAGCTCACGGGTGCTGCCAGGCAAGCTCACGGGTGCTGCCAGGCAAGCTCACGGGTGCTGCCATGCAAGCTCACGGGTGCTGCCAGGCAAGCTCACGGGTGCTGCCAGGCAAGCTCACGGGTGCTGCCAGGCAAGCTTACGGGTGCTGCCAGGCAAGCTCACGGGTGCTGCCAGGCAAGCTCACAGGTGCTGCCAGGCAAGCTCACGGGGTGCTGCCAGGAAAGCTCATGGGTGCTGTGCTGCCAGGCAAGCTCGCGGGTGCTGCCAGGCAAGCTCATGGGTGCTGCCAGGCAAGCTCAAGGGTGCTGCCAGGCAAGCTCACGGGTGCTGCCAGGCAAGCTCACGGGTGCTGCCAGGCAAGCTCACGGGTGCTGCCAGGCAAGCTCACGGGTTCTGCCAGGCAAGCTCACGGGTGCTGCCAGGCAAGCTCACGGGTGCTGCCAGGCAAGCTCACGGGTGCTGCCAGGCAAGCTCACGGGTGCTGCCAGGCAACCTCACGGTGCCAGGCAAGCTCACGGGTGCTGGCAGGCAAGCTCAGGGGTGCTGCCAGGCAACCTCACGGGTGCTGGCAGGCAAGCTCACGGGTGCTGCCAGGCAAGCTCACGGGTGCTGCCAGGCAAGCTCACAGGTGCTGGCAGGCAAGCTCACGGGTGCTGCCAGGCAAGCTCACGGGTGCTGGCAGGCAAGCTCACGGGTGCTGGCAGGCAAGCTCACTGGTGCTGCCAGGCAAGCTGACGGGTGCTGCCAGGCAAGCTCACGGGTGCTGGCAGGCAAGCTCACGGGTGCTGCCAGGCAAGCTCACGGGTGCTGCCAGGCAAGCTCACGGGTGCTGCCAGGCAAGCTCACGGGTGCTGCCAGGCAAGCTCACGGGTGCTGCCAGGCAAGCTCACGGGTGCTGCATGGCAAGCTCACGGGTGCTGGCAGGCAAGCTCTCGGGTGCTGGCAGGCAAGCTCACTGGTGCTGCCAGGCAAGCTCACGGGTGCTGCCAGGCAACCTCACGGGTGCTGCCAGGCAAGCTCCCGGGTGCTGTCAGGCAAACTCACGGGTGCTGGCATGCGAGCTCACGGGTGCTGCCAGGCAAGCCCACGGGTGCTGCCAGGCAAGCTCACGGGTTCTGCCAGGCAAGCTCACGGGTGCTGCCAGGCAACCTCACAGGTGTTGCCAGGCAAGCTCACGGGTGTTGCCAGGCAAGCTCACGGGTGCTGCCTGCCAGGCAAGCTCACGGGTGCTGGCAGGCAAGCTCACGGGTGCTGCCAGGCAAGCTCATGGGTGCTGCCAGGCAAGCTCATGGGTGCTGCCAGGCAAGCTCACGGGTGCTGCCAGGCAAGCTCACGGGTGCTGCCCGGCAAGCTCACGGGGTGCTGCCAGGCAAGCTCACGGGTGCTGCCAGGCAAGCTCACGGGTGCTGCCAGGCAAGCTCACTGGTGCTCCCAGGCAAGCTCACGGGTGCTGCCAGGCAAGCTCATGGGTGCTGTGCTGCCAGGCAAGCTCACGGGTGCTGCCAGGCAAGCTCACGGGTGCTGCCATGCAAGCTCACGGGTGCTGCCAGGCAAGCTCACGGGTGCTGCCAGGCAAGCTTACGGGTGCTGCCAGGCAAGCTCACGGGTGCTGCCAGGCAAGCTCACAGGTGCTGCCAGGCAAGCTCACGGGTGCTGCCCGGAAAGCTCATGGGTGCTGTGCTGCCAGGCAAGCTCGCGGGTGCTGCCAGGCAAGCTCACGGGTGCTGCCAGGCAAGCTCACGGGTGCTGGCTGGCAAGCTCATGGGTGCTGCCAGGCAAGCTCACGGGTGCTGCCTGGCAAGCTCACGGGTGCTGGCAGGCAAGCTCACGGGTGCTGCCAGGCAAGCTCACGGGCGCTGCCAGGAGAGCTCATGGGTGCTGGCAGGCAAGCTCACGGGTGCTGCCAGGCAAGCTCACAGGTGCTGCCAGGCAAGCTCACGGGTGCTGCCAGGCAAGCTCACGGGTGATGGCAGGAGAGCTCACGGGTGCTGGCAGGCAAGCTCATGGGTGCTGCCAGGCAAGCTCACCGGTGCTGCCAGGCAAGCTCACGGGTGCTGGCAAGCAAGCTCATGGGTGCTGCCAGGCAAGCTCACGGGTGATGGCAGGAGAGCTCACGGGTGCTGGCAGGCAAGCTCATGGGTGCTGCCAGGCAAGCTCACCGGTGCTGCCTGCCAGGCAAGCTCACGGGTGCTGGCAGGCAAGCTCACGGGTGCTGCCAGGCAAGCTCACGGGTGCTGCCAGGCAAGCTCACGGGTGCTGCCCGGCAAGCTCACGGGGTGCTGCCAGGCAAGCTCACGGGTGCTGCCAGGCAAGCTCACGGGTGCTGCCAGGCAAGCTCACTGGTGCTCCCAGGCAAGCTCACGGGTGCTGCCAGGCAAGCTCATGGGTGCTGTGCTGCCAGGCAAGCTCACGGGTGCTGCCAGGCAAGCTCACGGGTGCTGCCATGCAAGCTCACGGGTGCTGCCAGGCAAGCTCACGGGTGCTGCCAGGCAAGCTTACGGGTGCTGCCAGGCAAGCTCACGGGTGCTGCCAGGCAAGCTCACAGGTGCTGCCAGGCAAGCTCACGGGTGCTGCCCGGAAAGCTCATGGGTGCTGTGCTGCCAGGCAAGCTCGCGGGTGCTGCCAGGCAAGCTCACGGGTGCTGCCAGGCAAGCTCACGGGTGCTGGCTGGCAAGCTCATGGGTGCTGCCAGGCAAGCTCACGGGTGCTGCCTGGCAAGCTCACGGGTGCTGGCAGGCAAGCTCACGGGTGCTGCCAGGCAAGCTCACGGGCGCTGCCAGGAGAGCTCATGGGTGCTGGCAGGCAAGCTCACGGGTGCTGCCAGGCAAGCTCACAGGTGCTGCCAGGCAAGCTCACGGGTGCTGCCAGGCAAGCTCACGGGTGATGGCAGGAGAGCTCACGGGTGCTGGCAGGCAAGCTCATGGGTGCTGCCAGGCAAGCTCACCGGTGCTGCCAGGCAAGCTCACGGGTGCTGGCAAGCAAGCTCATGGGTGCTGCCAGGCAAGCTCACGGGTGATGGCAGGAGAGCTCACGGGTGCTGGCAGGCAAGCTCATGGGTGCTGCCAGGCAAGCTCACCGGTGCTGCCAGGCAAGCTCACGGGTGCTGGCAGGCAAGCTCATGGGTGCTCTCAAGCACTCGCTGTGCCAGAATTGTGGGGCACTCGCAGGGACTGCCAGCAGCAGGGGGGGTCGCCAGCAGCAAGGGGGGCTGCCAGCAGCAGGTGTCACGACACTGCTGCAGACAGCAGGGAGCAGGAGAAGCACCACATTGCTTTCTAGTGCACCCCTCCCATGCACCCCTCCCATGCACCCCTCCCATGCACCCCTCCCATGCACCCCTCCCATGCACCCCTCCCATACACCCCACCTTGCTGTTGCCGTTTCCTTTACCACTAGCTGGGCGTTGAATGCGGTACCACTAGCGCAGGCACGTCAGATTTCAGCACCTCCCAACAACAAAGTTTACTCTCCCAAAAAAAGAGCTAAGTTTATGAACTTTCACTTTTTAATAGACAGCTCAAGTTCGTAACTGTTCCACTTTCGTTTCAAGCGTCACCTTCTTGAAGTAGAGCGGCGCCTGCTCCATGACGCTGGGCGGCACGGGGATGGCCTCCACGAAGCAGTGCTTGCGCTGCCGCCCCGCGCCCCCGGCCACGCCCACCGCACTCTCCAGAAAGATGACTTGAGCGAGTGCGCCCCTGGTGGCAGCAGTGCCCCCCGCCATGGCCATGCGCGTGAGGCACTTCTTGAAGTTGCGCACCTCGTCCCACACCGCCCCCTCCACCGTGCGCATGCTGCCCTCGTGCTGCGCGCACAGGGGCGAGGGAGGAGGGGGGGGCGAGCAGGGAGGTGGGGGAGCAGGAGGCAGATGGGAGGCTTTGAGAGCAGTGGGAGGGGGTGTGTGGTGGAGTGGGAGGGGGTGTGTGGTGGAGTGGGAGGGGGTGTGTGATGGAGTGGGAGGGGGTGTGTGGTGGAGCAAGAGACTGGTGCTGAGACAGGCCGCACTGCCTTGGCGCTACAGTGTGTGGCACGTGGCATAGGTGCAGGTCAAGGGGGGCAATGTGTGTGGGCCCGTGTGTGACCTCGCAGGGCACGATGAGCACGTGGTTGGGCAGCAGCGCGCCCCACGGCGGCACCATCAGGTAGCTGTGCGCCGCCACCGACACCACCAGGTGCCGCGGCCGCGCAGGGCTGTCCACGCACTGCTGGCAGCGCTGCTGCAGCGCTGACAGCCGCCGGTGCTCAGCTACCTGCCCCGCCTTCTCCTGCTGCTGCTGTGAGGGCCTGCACAAGGGGGGGAGGAGGAGGGGTAGATAGATGAGGCAGGGTGGAAGGGGTACAAGGTAAGAGCAGTGCAGCAAGCTGTGTGCAGCAGCGAGAGAGCACCAGAAACGCCATTCACCAGCACGTGTTGCATCCCCGTGTCACTTCCACTGGCTTCCATCTGCTGTGCCTCACCTGCCCTTCCGCCTTCCCCCCGTGTCCCCGCCCTGCAGCCCCTCGTCCCAGTCGTATTCGTCATCCGCGTCCACTGGCCCCTTGTACCGTGCCCCCGCACGCACGATGCTGCCCGCCACGCGCCGGTCCAGCCCCCCCAGGTCGCCTGCGCTGCCCCCGCCCGCCCGCTCCGCGGCCAGCAGCTGGTCCAGCGAGGTGGTGTCGTCGTCCCGGAAGTACCTGCGGGAGGGAGCCCGGGGAGAGAGCAGGGGGGAAGAGTGGGGGAAGGAGACGCGCCATGCTGCTCTTCCTAACCGTTCTCCTCGCACCCATGCCTCTGCCCATCCCCTCTCTCCTTTCCTGGTTCCACACGTCCTCACTCATGGGCGAAGTGGATGAGGCACACGCAGGGAGAGAAGCTGTGAAGGTGAAGGCATCAACGGCGTGACGGCGTGGCCCATCCGGGTGGAACTCAGGGCCGAGCAGAAGAGGAGAGAAGGAGGGCGCAGCGCAAGAAAAGGGAGAAAGGGGAAGGGGGGTGACTAGCAGGAGGCAAAGACAGACGAGCAGAGAAGTCCCGACCCGATAACCAACCCTGGGAACACGTTGAAGTAGCTTTTTCCTACCTCGCCCTCCTCCCTCTCACCTCGCCCTCCTCCCTCTAACCTCGTCCTCCTCCCTCTCACCTCGCCCTCCTCCCTCTCAACTCGCCCTCGCCCTCTCACTTCGCCCTCTCAGCTGGCCCTCTGCCCTCTCACCTGGCCCTCTGCCCACTCACCTGGCCTTCTGCCCTCTCACCTGGCCCTCTGCCCTCTCACCTCGTCCTCTGCCCTCTCACCTGGCCCTCTGCCCTCTCACCTTGCCCTCCCTCTCACCTGGCCCGCTGCCCCGTGCCACCCTCCACGCCGTATCGCTCCACGCGCTTCTCCCGCCGCCCCGCCTTCTCCTCGCCCCGCCCCCCTCCCGCCGCCATCACAGCCGGCAGGTACCGCCCACGCGCGTCCACCAGCGGCAGCACAACCACCTCCCTCTCACCACCACTCTCGCCTTCTCCCTCCCCCTCCTCCGCCTCTCCGCCCCCTCGCTCTCTCGCCCTCTCGTGGACCCCATCACCCCGGCCTCTCTCCCCTGTGCCCTGGGGTTGCGCTGCGGCTGCGTCAGGTGCAGCTGGCGTCGATGGCGTTGCCGGAGGGGGCTGGGACTTGACTGCCGCTGCTCGCTGCGGTGATGGGAGGGGGTGATGGGAGGGGGTGATGGGAGGGGGCGATGGGAGGTTGAATGGGAGGGGGCGATGGGAGGGGGTGATGGGAGGGGGTGATGGGAGGGGGTGATGGGAGGGGGTGATGGAAGGGGGTGATGGGAGGTTGCATGGGAGGGGGTGATGGGAGGGGGTGATGGGAGGGGGTGATGGGAGGGGGTGATGGGAGGGGGTGATGGGAGGTTGCATGGGAGGGGGCGATGGGAGGGGGTGATGGGAGGGGGTGATGGGAGGGGGTGATGGGAGGTTGCATGGGAGGGGGTGATGGGAGGGGGTGATGGGAGGGGGTGATGTGAGGGGGTGATGGGAGGTTGCATGGGAGGGGGTGATGGGAGGGGGTGATGGGAGGGGGTGATGTGAGGGGGTGATGTGAGGGGGTGATGGGGGGGGGTGATGTGAGGGGGTGATGGGAGGGGGTGATGGGAGGGGTTGATGGGAGGTTGCATGGGAGGGGGTGATGGGAGGGGGTGATGGGAGGGGCGATGTGAGGGGGTGATGTGAGGGGGTGATGTGAGGGGGTGATGGGAGGGGTTGGTGGGAGGTTGCATGGGAGGGGGTGATGGGAGGGGGTGATGGGAGGGGGTGATGGGAGGGGGTGATGTGAGGGGGTGATGGGAGGGGGTGATGGGAGGGGGTGATGTAGACATGATCAAAACGCGATTGCGATTTAAATCGCATCGCATGCAGGTGCGATGTTTAAAAAAGCGATGCGATTTTAAATCGCATCGCGCGATTTATTTTTCAAAAAAAAAAAGATCGCACATCGCATTTTACCCGCGATGTATTAAAAAATCGCATGCGATATTTAATGAAATCGCAAAATGCGATTTTAAATCGCATCGCGTTTTAAAACAGAATTAAAAAACGCCCCAAAAAAACAGAAAAAAACCATGGCTGCGGGGAAATTGACTCACGGGCAGTCGTAAGCTAGAGTGCAAATAACCAGTGTGGTTTCGTAGTGGGTTTCAGAGGGGGTTTCAGTGCAATATCGCGTGCGATTTTTAAAAAATCGCATATCGCATTTAAATCGCGTTTTTTAAGCGCGATTAAAAAGCGATTTAAATTAAGTCGCGCGATATTAATTCATCGCATCGCGCCATGATTTAAAAAAAAAAAAAAAAAAAAAAAAACACATCGCCATCGCAAAAACACGATTAAATGCGATGCGATGCGATTTTTTTTGCCCATGTCTAGGGTGATGGGAGGGGGTGATGGGAGGGGGTGATGGGAGGGGTTGATGAGAGGGGTTGATGGGAGGTTGCATGGGAGGGGGTGATGGGAGGGGGTGATGGGAGGTTGCATGGGGAGGGGCGATGGGAGGGGGTGATGGGAGGGGGTGATGTGAGGGGGTGATGTGAGGGGGTGATGTGAGGGGGTGATGGGAAGGGGTGATGGGAGGGGGTGATGGGAGGGGTTGATGGGAGGGGTTGATGGGAGGGGTTGATGGGAGGTTGCATGGGAGGGGGTGATGGGAGGGGGTGATGGGAGGGGGTGATGGGAGGTTGCATGGGAGGGGGTGATGGGAGGGGGTGATGGGAGGGGGTGATGTGAGGGGGTGATGGGGGGGGGTGATGTGAGGGGGTGATGGGAGGGGGTGATGGGAGGGGGTGATGGGAGGGGGTGATGGGAGGGGGTGATGGGAGGGGGTGATGTGAGGGGGTGATGTGAGGGGGTGATTGTTGTAAAATATATATCTATACAACATGCATGCCTAGATTAGGAGGTGTAGTCATTATAATTATTGGGGGGTTGTTGGTAGGGTTGACCAACCCCACATTTGGGTTGGTCAAGATTGGATTTGGTCCTAGACATTTGGTTGGCACTATTCCAACCAAATGGTCCTTGGTCCTAGGAACCAACCAATCACCAAGCACCACACTTTGTGGTTGCTTGCCTTCCAAGCAATCTCTCTCATTGGTCCACATTGTCGCCAATCGGAGAGCACAACACCTTGTGGTTGCTTGCCCTACAAGTAACCACTCCCATTTGTCCACTTTAAGGCCAATAGGGGAGCTTCCCTTCTAACTCTTCCTTGCTCCTTGTTTTGTACAAAAGAGCCTCTTGGCTCCCTATTCAATTTAACATTTTCTCTTCCAAGCTAGTTCCTTCAGTGATGGGAGGGGGTGATGGGAGGGGGTGATGGGAGGGGGTGATGGGAGGGGGTGATGGGAGGGGTTGATGGGAGGTTGCATGGGAGGGGGTGATGGGAGGGGGTGATGGGAGGGGGTGATGGGAGGGGGTGATGGGAGGGGGTGATGGGAGGGGGTGATGGGAGGTTGCATGGGAGGGGGCGATGGGAGGGGGTGATGGGAGGGGGTGATGGGAGGGGGTGATGGGAGGTTGCATGGGAGGGGGTGATGGGAGGGGGTGATGGGAGGGGGTGATGTGAGGGGGTGATGTGAGGGGGTGATGGGAGGGGGTGATGGGAGGGGGTGATGGGAGGGGGTGATGGGAGGGGGTGATGGGAGGTTGCATGGGAGGGGGTGATGGGAGGGGGTGATGTGAGGGGGTGATGGGAGGGGGCGATGGGAGGGGGCGGTGATGAAGAGAAACAGAGGGGATGGACAGAAACAGAATTGGGGCAGAATATCTATGAGCTTGGCCGAGCTCACAACGTGCCTTTTTGGTCAATCGGCATGTTGGATGGGTTGACTCGGAAAAATCACTGCCGCTGTACAGGAGAACCCCCGCCAACGAGTCACAACGAGACAGCGCACAACGAGACTTCCTTGGCAATCACGTATGCACACACCCATGCCCCCTGCACTCATGCCCCCTGCACCCATGCTCCAATCCACCACCTGCCCCCATCCCATCCCACCTGCCAGCAGTGGGCTTCCTCGGCTTTGCCCATCAGCTTGAGCCGCATGGCCTTCGCTGCCATCTGGTTGGCCGTCAGCCCCTCCCTTAGTATCTCCTGCACCCGTGCATCGCCCACATCACCACCCGCACCCGCACCCGCACCCGCACCCGCACCCCGACCCACAGCTGCACCCACAGGTGCAGCCGCAGGTGCAGCAGCGGCCGGTTCAGTACCACCCTCCGTCCCCTTGCCTGCCCCATGCCTCCCCCCACCTCCACTTCTGCACCCCCTTCTCCACCGCCCTTCCTCCCCCTTCCCTCATCCCCCTCCCTCCTCTCCCTCCTCTCCCCGTCACCTGCCCGCCCTCCACCACCGCTGCCTGCTGCGCCTCCCTCTGCCCGCCCTCCACCACCGCTGCCTGCCGCGCCCCTCCCAGCCCCCCCTGCTGCCTTCCCCCTGCCACCCGCGCCATCCCTCGCCTCCTCTCTCGCCCCACCACCCCGTGCCCTCTCCCCGCCCGCACCCCCCTGCGCCCCTCCCTGCGGCGCCTGTGAGTGCGCCAGCTGCCGCGCCAGGAAGCCCCCGTCGTCCTCGAAGCTGTTCACGCTGCGCGCCGCCTCCGCCAGCACCTCCTCGCCCCACCCGCCCCCCCGCCGCGCACCCATGCCAGGCCGCCACGCCCCGCGCTCCCTCCACCCCTGCGACCTCTCCTTGCCCCCCACGACCCCGCCTCCCTCCCCCTCCCTCTCTTTCTCGCCCCCTCTCTCCCTCTCCCCCTCTGCCGCCCCCTCCCCTCTCCCCCCTGCCCCTTCCGCTCCCCTCTCCCCTCTCCCCCTCCCTCCCTCCGCCCCCCCCTCCCCCCATCGCCGCCACGACACCGACTCCTGCTGCGGCACTCTCATGCCCGCCCGCCCCCCCCCGACACTCCCACCAGGTACCCCCTCCTGCCCGCCCTCGTCCTCCTCTCCTCCTCCTCCTCCTCCTCCTCCTCCTCCTCCTCCTCCTCCTCCTCCTCCTCCTCCTCCTCCTCCTCCTCCTCCTCCTCCTCCTCCTCCTCCTCATCCCCCTCATCCGCCCCACTCCGCCTACCGCGCCCCACCCCCACTCTCTCCTGCTCGCCATGCTGCCTCCATCCTCCCCTCCCTGCCCTTCCCTTGCCCCCTCTGCCTCCCTCCTTGTCTCCATCCATCCCTCCCTCCACCTCTCCCGCGCCACTCGCACCCCTTCCCCCCTCCCCCCCTTCCTCCCGCCCCCCCCCCCGGCCCCGCTCTCGGTCCCTGGCGGCGTGCTTGTGGGCGAAGGCGGGGGCAGCGCGGGCGGAGGAGAGGCGCGCCGTGAGGGAGGAGAGCGACCCCCACCGGTCACACACTACCTGCAGGCGGAGAGGGGGAGGAGAGTGGGGGAAAGAGCAGGAGGGAGGAGACGGGGTGGTGCACGAGTGGGAACAAGTGGGAAGGGATGGATCATGAACGGGCGGCAGTGCCTACCTGGAACCACCGGAAAAACCATATTAAAGGCTGGTAACCATCCAAACAAGCATGTTACAAGAGAAAAGGCATCCCTGCCGCTCGGCTGTTTTCCGCCTCATCCCAGCCATTAACTGCCTCATCCCAGCCATTAACTGCCTCATCCCAGCCATTAACTGCCTCATCCCAGCCATTAACTGCCTCATCCCAGCCATTAACTGCCTCATCCCAGCCATTAACTGCCTCATCCCAGCCATTAACTGCCTCATCCCAGCCATTAACTGCCTCATCCCAGCCATTAACTGCCTCATCCCAGCCATTGACTGCCTCATCCCAGCCATTAACTGCCTCATCCCAGCCATTGACTGCCTCATCCCAGCCATTGACTGCCTCATCCCAGCCATTGACTGCCTCATCCCAGCCATTGACTGCCTCATCCCAGCCATTGACTGCCTCATCCCAGCCATTGACTGCCTCATCCCAGCCATTAACTGCCTCATCCCAGCCATTGACTGCCTCATCCCAGCCATTGACTGCCTCATCCCAGCCATTGACTGCCTCATCCCAGCCATTTACTGCCTCATCCCAGCCATTGACTGCCTCATCCCAGCCATTGACTGCCTCATCCCAGCCATTGACTGCCTCATCCCAGCCATTGACTGCCTCGCTCGGTTGCCCGTGGACACAACCATTCCTCACTTGCTCCTCCCCCCCCCGTTACCACCCATCAGGCCTTCCCCCCACTTCTACCCTTCTCCCCCTCTCCCCCTCTCCCCCTCTCCCCCTCTCCCCCTCTCCCCCTCTCCCCCTCTCCCCCTCTCCCCCTCTCCCCCTCTCCCCCTCTCCCCCTCTCCCCCTCTCCCCCTCTCCCCCTCTCCCCCTCTCCCCCTCTCCCCCTCGCCCCCGATTCCCCCCCCACCTCGCTCAGCCGCTTCCCCTCGCGCTCCGCCTGCTCCTTGGCGCGCCGCAGAGCCTTCACCCGCCAGCTGGCGCCGCCATCGCCCACACCGGGCAGCGGCGCTGGGCGGGCAGACACTGGTGGTTGGGCGGCAGGGAGGGTGGCGTGGTCATCAGGGAAGCCGTCGCCGGCCTTGAAGTAGGGGTTGAGCTCGCGCGCACTGGCGCCCAGGGGAAGCTGCGGGGGGCGCGCATGGCGCATGGGGGGAGCAGAGGAGACGAGGGTGGGATGATGGGAGGAAAGTGTGATGATGGGGAGGCATGGCGGAAACGAGCATGAAACCAAGGTGGGGATGGGGGAATGGGGGGAGGGGGTGTGGGGACAGTGAAACACGGCCAAGGGTGAATTATGCGAGCATGTGGAACCCAGCGTAATGCACTCAGCTACATGCCCATATCCAACCATCCTCCCAGAATCCCGCACCTCTTTCTTGCCCTCCTCCTCCCTCTCCTCCGCCCTGTCCCCCCCCATGGCCCGCTGTGGCGCGCGCAGCATCCACTCCAGCCCCGCTGTCTCGCGCGCCCTCTCCCCCTCCCCCTGCTGCGCTGCTCCTGAGCCTGAAGAGGCGGGCACGGGCGGGGCGGAGAGGAAGGCGGTTGGAGGCGCTGAGAGCGAGGACGAGTGGCATTGGCGACATGGAGCGCCGCGGGGGCAGGGGAGCGCACACAGGTGGCGGCGCATGCTGGCGTGCGAGGGGGTGCAGTGGGAGGGGCGTGGCGGGGAGCAGGGTGGCGGGGAGCAGGGTGGCGGGGAGCAGGGTGGCGGGGAGCAGGGTGGCGGGGAGCAGGGTGGCGGGGAGCAGGGTGGCGGGGAGCAGGGTGGCGGGGAGCAGGGTGGCGGGGAGCAGGGTGGGGAATGAAGGAAGGGGCGATGGTGGAGGTGGAGGTGTGGCGGATAGGGTGTGAGGGAGAAGGAGCAGGGGGGACGCTTTGAGGGGCACAGGTCAGTTGCATGCATGCAGCCAGCCTCGTGACTCGCACCACGCCACGCATCACGAAAAGCATCACTCGCGGAAATGCCCCCAGACTACACCCCTCCAATTCTTGACACGCTCTGTGCGCCCCAAGCCCTGTGCGCCCCACGCTGTGTGCGCCCGTGGTTGGACCATCATGTCGCGACGGCCGCCTCACCTGCTGCCGCTCCGCCCTTCATCCCCTCGCGCTCCTCCTCCGCCTCCTCCGATCCATCCGACTCATCCGAGCCGTCCGAGCCGTCCGATACGTCCTCAGTCCATTTGCCCCGCCTCTTCCGCCGCTCCTCCCTCCTCCTCGATTTCCTCCGCGCCCGCTCTTCCTCGCTCTCCGATTCACCCTCCTCCGCCTCGCTCTCTCTCCCTCGCCGCCCCTTCCGCTTCCCCTTTTTCCCCCCTCTCTCCCTCTTCCGCTTCTTTCGCCGCCTCTCGCGCTCACTGTCGCTCGAGTCGTCCGACCCCCTCCTCGGCTTGCCCTTATCCCCGCTCTTCACCTTGCACTGCTCCCCGCCGCCGTCAACCCGAACGAATTTCACGGCGCTCAGCATGCTGGCCTGGGGGGCGGAGTGCGATGGACGGGACGCACGAGGCAGGGCGGCAGCCGCGAGTGCGTGGCCAGCTTCGACGGCGCCGCGCAATAAGACGCAGCTGCAAGCGGTGTTGGTTGCGCGCGAAGTGGAAACAGAGGGATTTAGGGCGCGTGGAATGTAGGGCACCAACGAACGGACGAGCGGACGAACGGAGCCGCTTGTCTGTGGCCAATCGCGTGCCTGCAAAATGTTTTGCGAGAAAAGTTTCAATTGATCGAGGGGCACATCCCGGACGTTTCTTGAAAGTTGCGCACCCGCGCCAGCACGAAACCCCACGAACATCGGCCGTGATCGGTAATCCGTCATTCCAGAATGCAGAATGCGGAATGCGGAATCCGCTGCGAGCTTTCCGTATTCCGTGCGTTGACTCGCCAGGTTTGGTAGTGCGAGAAGTTGGGCTGGTTTATGTGCGAAATTTCGTGATGTAACTGACGCGTCTGAGCTAGCGAATTACCAAACCAATCCCGCCACGATCTTGGTCACGAAAAACAAAAGGGAGGGGAGAAACAGGGCTTCAAATTGTGCATATGGGGCCTGCATCTGGCTTGATATCGAAATGCGACCCTGAATTTGTTTTCTTGGCGGTCAGACACAGGCCGATACAGGTCATATGCCCTGAGAGCCCGGGGGGCGACGCGAGAGATTTCGCTTTTAACGAATACGGGCCGTACGATAGGGGCAACGTGGACTATGGGGTTTCCCCAGGAAATGGGGTGGTGTTTTTTGTGTACTGTACATGGGCGGTTTGACTGGCGTATGCAGCGATTGAGTAAACGTCGCAGCGTCGCAAGTCTCTCCACCTGTGTATCAACTTCGCGTTTCAAGCAGGTCCCTCGATAACCTAGGGGTCACCCTGAATAATCCGAGTTTGCCCGGGGTCCAGCTCTTTCAGGCTGGGTAGCTCTAAAACTTTTGACTGTTTTTGCAGGCATGAGTTTCGCCCTGCTCGGAATGTGCCACTCCTGACAATGACAGGGGAGCCATTTTTTCTAGGGGCGCGAACTTCTACAGTAAAATTTCCAGGGTGAGTCCATCCCCTACTCAAAAATCAGGCGTCGAAATTTCACCATGTTTTCCTTGACAAAGCAGTGTAATTACCCTTACTTCCAGAGGCCTAGTTTCAAAAGAATGTCAGATTCCTTGACGCGCTCCTGGGCGCGTTCCTATTGGCTGTGGATAGACGGATTTTCCATGGGCGACGCAGACGGATTGCGTTTGCTTTGCAGTCGTAATTCTACTGAACCGTCAGCGGGCTGTTGGATTTCTTTTTCGACATTGGTTGGCGAGCCTGACACATCTGGATTTTTAGAGGCTCGCCGACCACTAGGCGTGGTCGCTCTGAAAACACAGGAGAAAAATGATTGGACGGTCTTGGATCATCCGACTTGACAGTCATGTTTACTGTTCAGTTGAGACGGGTACACTTTGCTTACAAGGAGAGGCCCTTAAGGATAAAATGCCTATGAGATACTCCTAGGCATAGAAGGAGGTTGTCTACAAGGCATATGACATGTATTGGGTATTCGACGTTCCCCGTTTCCGAAATAAGGGCATTCGTCATTGCGTCTGGATTGCCCCACTCTTCACTATTCCAAGCTATTCCTGCAAAAAAGCTGGAATGCATATCGACCGGCTGTTGGCACGATTTCGCCCGAGTCAGCAGCTAGGTGCCCTTTCCTCATTCCGTATTCGAGCCTTCCATATTCTGGTGATCGGTACACGCCTCTATTCCATGAGGTTTGGTGTTATTAAAAAGATTAGTTGGCTTTAAGCCTATTCCGAGCCATCCCTGAGAAATTACTCGACACCATCCTTATTCCAGAATACGGCCAACTGATCAGGGCCATCAAAGCGCAGCTCGCCAAACCTCCAAACCCTAGACTATCGAACAGTTCCTTCCGCAAACCCTGCACAGCGCATACTTTTTCGTTTTCGCGAATTGCCGAACTCAGCACGATTTTGTAACAGTCTTGAAAATTGATGACAAGATGTTGATTTGCCTCGTTTGAATCACCTCGTGATTGTACTCGAAATTTAGGGCCCAGGTCCCAAGTTACAAGGCTCAAACGTTTTTGGTAACAATTCTGGAACGTGTAAGGAACAGTATATCCCTTACAGGGGCTCGCCATAGCGAGTACATGCGAACAGTGCATGTCCGCAGGCTCGGCCCTTGGTTCTCGCGCCAAACCAGCCCCCGTCGACCTTTTCGGCCCCAACCTGATCTCGAGTCGCCCCCAACCCATTTTGACCCGTCACCTTCAGGACAGTCGAGCCCTTGACTGGTTCAACCATCGGCATTCAACCCTGGTCAACTCGCACTATATAAGCCCTAGGCCTCATTTCTATCGTCATTCTGTGATCACGTTCCCCTATAGTATTCTGCGGTATACTCTAAGTTATAATTCATAACAGCTGGTATCAGAGTTACGTTCATGCCCATTAGGCTTCCAGTAGGGGAGCAGACCCTATCGGAGAAGGGGGCGGAAGGATGCTGATGGCAAGTGGACATCGCGGAAATTAATTGCGCAGGCGTTGCCGATGCTGTCAGATCCTTTCCGATGGACGGCTGGGATTGGACGGTCCTCCCCTTCCCTGAGTGTAGACGGAATTATTTCCCGTGGGAGAGTGGGTGACGTTTTCGCCGTGTTTTTCGGGTATGTTCGTTAGAGCTTTCGTAATTTTTGGGTGTTCGGACGGAGTCTTCGAACTGGCTTCCGAAAAAGGCGAAGGCTTCATCATGAGGAGACAAGTGCACGGGAATCCTCAGGCGGCTGGGAGTTGGTCGTTAGGAGCGCGCAGGGTAGCAAAATTGGCGGGATGTACGTCGATTTACAGTATGTCTGGAACGCCATTCAGCAGCAGTGTGAACTGTAGCTGTGTCGCGGGTCCCGGAGTTTCCGGCAGGCTAGTTGCAGGCGATGGACGGGACTTCAACACTATTTTGACAATAGGTGGATCCGACAATTTCGGAACGACACGATCGCACAACAATTTGTGGGTGTGCAGTTGTGTGGGAGCGGCTAGGATTAACGACCTCGGCGCTATTCACCACGACGGCCATCTGGAGGAGATGACGCTGTGCTGGAGTGGGTGTACTCAGCGAGGGCGACCTCTTGCGTGGGGAGGCCACCAGCGATTCATACCCCCACGATCAACAGAAACGGAGGCCACCACCCTTGGGTGTGTATTAAGTGTTTTTCCACCGGTCGCCGAATGTGTTAACTGTCAAGAGTTGAAGCAGTGGGAGAAGAACGACGGGAGGACTAGATTTGATGGGTTAGCAGTGTTCTGACTGCTATTCGCTCAGCTACGTCACCCGAAAATCACCATTCCCACCAGGTAGCCGTGTCGACTTATTAATCGACGGCTTCTGGCTCAATATGATGAACCTGCGAACTACACTGTGCTGATGGAGTGTCCCCAAAATTTTAGGAGTTACTGTTGCCGCGGAGTTGAAGGTTTCACCTGGTGCGGCAGAAAGAGCTTCCGACTTTTGCAGGTGTAGTTTGATGAGATCCAAACGGAGGAGGGAGCTGTCCAGCGGTCAGTAGGCGAGCTCGTTAAAGCTCCTCTTACTAGAAGCGTTCGCACTCCTAGTTAGTTAAGCAGCAGCGAAGCGGTTTTGGGTATCCTGCAGCAGCCGCGAGATGGGTGAACATCTGCACGGCCAGCTGGACAGGGGTACCGGAGTATTTTAGAATTGGGTAACAACTGGGCGGAGATCGACGGCGTATGATGCGCATTGACCATGATCGACGGCCAAAACATCATGCCGAGACGGTGGACTCCGGTAAACCCTAAGATAAAGGGTTCAGTTCATGCGTACAGATTGTGGAGAAACCGTGGGGGCGCTGCTAAAGGACGCCGTGACGCCTGGGCATTTTTACGGGTAGTTGTAAAGCAGTGTTGCAGTTTTGGTTACATATCGATGGAGTTCCAACATTTTCGGTGGGGTTGAGGAGCAGTTCACGAGTTTACAGCTGGAGTTGTGCCCGATATCTTCAGGGGTACGAGCGACATCGACCGACATTTGCGGAGTGTTTTGGTTCTATGGAAGGGAAGGGGAGCAGCAGCTGTTTCATCTCTTTCCGAAGTTTTCGGCGTGTACGGACAACGAAGCTGATGCAACTGGCGTCATTTGCCTCGGGTTTCTGTTCGAGGTGATTTTCTATGGAGCAGTTCAGTACAGGTTACAGGTCATCGCCATCGTCGTCTTCATCTCGCCACCACCCGCTACCACCTCCATTCTCTATTCGCCTACTTTTGTGAACACGACCTCGCCTCACCATCCGAATCTACATTAGCAATATTGAAGCGAAAAGATTTTTGCCGCAATATTGTTGGAGCTGTGTTGGGACCAGCTCGCAAGCAATGTTCCTACTCGTGCAGAATTTTAAGTTACTTCTGAGTTTCAAGACCCTTGTAGCGGTTTACCCTGGAGGAGTTTTCCACTCTGAATCAGTTTGGGAGATATATGTGTTGGTGTATTTTCAGTAACGTCTTCGAATGAGATTTATGGGACTTTAAGAAGCCGTGTGGGATTTCTCGCGGTTGGAGTTTTGCAGTGGCATCTTGGAAGCTGAGTATCAGAATTTTCAGCAACGGCAGGGGATTCTTTTGACTACCTTGGAGCATTGGGGTTCCCTAGAGTCCTACATGGGAAATTGGGAGTTGCTTTCTCTTAAAGGGGGGAGACGGGCAATTGTGCTGCAATTTTTCGTCTAACCCTTCCGGCGTATTCCATCATCCATATTCGACTGCCATTCGTCACCGTTACGCTTCCGCGCCTAATTTTGTATTTTCGTTGATGGAGTTTGCTGACTTTCGTGGGACACGCACGCGTGCTCTCGCATGTGACATGAACGACCTCGCGTTTGATGAACGGGTTATTCATTTCATCGACCATCACTTTATTCGCTAGTCATCATTTCAAGATATTCAACTGCCACGCGCCATCATCAATCGACCACTCGACCGTGTCACTGTTCATTATCTTTCGAAAGAGTATTTACCCTTGCCCGTTTGGTCAGCACAAGAACTCGACCATCTTCGACGATTGAGATTAAAAGCGATCGTTTCGACGCTTTCTGACCATCGATTTCAGTTCGACCTCAAGACCTCGTCAGGCCGGCTTAATCATTACGCTAGTCACAGGGCTGAAGAATTACAGTCAATTCGGGGAATAAATCAGATAAA